TTTTCATCGCTGCGGTAACAATAGCATAACTATTAAATTAAAAGAAAGAAAGATGTTTCAGAATATCTGCAAATTAACTCTGCAAATTATTTTCAGTTCTACACGATTAGTTTGTCCATGAATATCTGAAATGCAAATTTCAGTATCAGGATAATTCCCATAATCGTTGTCTCCGTTCTGCGGGAAAATCTCCATGTTCCCTCTGTCGCTCTAGCTTTTTGTACAAATCTTTTACTTCCCATGAGGTTAGATTGTAAAACGAGTTACCGAGCAGTGTACGTGCAGCAACGAGCAGGGAATCGTTCAAACTTCAAACGCTTGCTCTGGAATCATTTTCTGGCGTTGCAGGAGTAGTTTGTGGATTTCCATTTTCTTGAAATTCCAACTGTTCCCTTTTTCTGTTTTTATTTTACATATCTCGTAGGTATTTGCATCAATATGATATATATATATATATATATATATATATATATATATATATATATATATATATATATATATATATATATATATATTGTATTTGTGTAATTATATGTATAATATGCATTGTAGTATGTAATAGTAGTCATAGATATTTTAACGCAGTTACACTTTGCACCCATAATATCTTCTCTACTTAGCGTGGAGGTAGATTGGTACAGAATGCCTTGTTGCATTAAGTCCGCCTTTTTGTAATTGGTATGCAATTATAGCGTAAATAAATAAATAAATAATAAATTATGTTCCGACTCATTTTAATTTCATTAGAGGATTATTAAACTGAAATAGCAATGGACCGGCCATATAGCTCGAAGAATCGACAACTGATGGGAGATAGGGTTCTCGAGTGACAGCCCCGTAAGTAAACGGTTGGCGAAGTCTAGGGCGACTTTCCACTGGACGGAGGGACGACCTGGTAGAAATGCAGGAAGTCGATGAATGCAGGTGGCTCCCGACTGTGCTTTATGGCGTTCCTCGGGAGAGTTCTATGTTCAGCAGTGGACTTGGGAAGGGGTGTAATAGTGAAAATGATGAACTTCAAGAAAGAACCCGATAGACGGATACAATTAAGCTGCATTCAAAAAGCTACGTCAGGTCTTTTCGTCACCCACACCACAAGTCTGAAGAAGCAAGTCTTGTCGTCCAGTACCAGTACGTCCTGCTTGCAGCAACTGAATGTGTGAAGCGTAAAACCGGACTAAGTGGCGCACCTTAGGGGAGGCCTATTCCCAGCAGTGGACTGATTATGAATTAAATTAAAATATTTTTTCTCTTTGAACTTATTACATATACTTATTTTTAAATCAATTCGACTCAGCCCACCTTACTACAGTTGATGAGCGCAGCATCATTTTGTTTGTGTTAATTTTCTAATAGATAACCGTGTAGAGACACTACCCCATATCGTTCCACGGGTGTCGTAAGAGGCGACATAGGGAAACTAAAACAGGCGATCTGCAGAAGCATCTTAATGATAACAGATGAATAAGAAAATGCCGTTGCCAACCTATGGCAAAATCTATGAGACAATCACATATGGGTAGGCCCTATGTTCAGCAGTGAACTTTTATATGCTGTAATAGATAGATATTACACCACCTTGGTCACCTTAGTTTCGTTTGTTAAATAACCCTGTTATTACACCACTTACACGTACATGCATGATTAGCAATTCGAAATAAAACCGGCCAAGAGCGTGTCGGGCCACGCTCAGTGTAGGGTTCCGTAGTTTTCCGGCCGTCACAATAAGTGTTCCCACTTATGAGTTTAAAGGTGGGTATCCATTATGTTCGCGCTCCAGCAGCGCTCCGCGCTCCTGCAACTGCTCCCGGTAGTGGGTACTGTTGTTTCCAATCAAGTTCAAAATGATTTTCCTAGAAAGTCCTTATAATGTTCTACTTTTCGGATTTTTTTCATATTTTCTAAACTTATGGTTCAAAAGTTAGAGGGGGGGGACACATTGTTTTTTACTTTTGGAGCGATATTTCCGAAATTATTGACATTATCAAAAAATGATTTTAGTAAACCCCTATTCATTTTAAGTACCTTTCCAACAATATATCACACGTTAGGGTTGAAATTAAAAAAAAAATCACTTCCCACTTTACATATAGGGGGGCTACCCTAATAAAACATTTTTTTCCAATTTTTATTTTACCACTTTGTCGGCGTGATTGATACACATATTGGTACCAAATTTCAGCTTTCTAGTGCTAACGGTCACAGAGATTAAGCGAGGACGGACAGACGGACAGACAGACATGGCAAAACTATAAGGGTTCCTAGTTGACTACGGAACCCTAAAAAGTTATTTTTCATATAAATTACAATAAATACACGTCATTTTTGACTGTTTCATCGTCATCATCACAGCCCTTCACGAGTCCACTGCTGAACATATGCCTCCCCCAAAAGTAAAAACAAAGTAAAGTTACAGCCTATATACGTAAGTACGCAATTTTTCTCTTATTCCTCAGACATGCAGGTTTCCTCACGATGTTTTCCTTCACCGCCGAGCGCGTGGTAAATCAGCACTTAAAATTGCAATTAACAATTTCATTGGTGCCGGCGGGGTTCGAACCCGGGTTACTTGCGTTGTATTATATTTACAGCGAGCGTTATCCGTCTGAGCGACCACGGCTGAAGCCTGCCACAAAGCATACCTTGGGGGAGGCCTTTTTTTTACTGTTTATAAAGAAATAATAACAAATTAGTTTACATCTTCAATAGAAAAGACAAAAATTAATTAAATTTTCTCATAAAATTTACTGCTTTCTATAAAAACACGTTAAATGTGAAGTATAAATCTCGCTATACTTCATTTTCGGAGACAGGTGCATATTACAGTGAAAGAGCTGAGCACAGAACATAATAGTCTCTACGGAGAGGAGCTGAGACGGCAAAGCATATTACTTTTTAGTTACATTTGCACCATAATTGGATACTCTTATTATTTATTACCATTTTCAATATTTATATCATTGTTTTACTGATTAACTGTAATCTTATTAGCACAGTCTTTATAAATAAATTTCTGATGATGAAGTCCTAATTTATTCAAAGGCGCCGTTCTCCGAGTAATGTTTTGGAAGCTTTTAGGCTATAATACTATCGTAAGAAATATTATAACACCACAAGTGTTACTGATGCAATAATTATGCTATAAAATTCAATATCCGCTTTTCTACTTAAAATTCAGTTTGTAGAGTTACTTATTTCTGCCGTCAAACAAGAATGTGGGAACAAGCTTTTTGGTGTTTTGTGAATCTTTATTAGGTTAGTAATCAATTTCTTAATTATAATAATTTTAAAGTAGATTGTTTATCTCTAAAAAGGTAATTGAGCAAGAAAAAGTGCGCTTAGTTCCTTACTTCTTCTTGATGTGTGGGAATGACTTTTTCGGTTTATAAGGTGTAGAAAAATATAGGAAAAGAAGCATCAATCTTTGTCCTCAAACATGTTAATGCATCTGTATTATTTACTATCATATGAATTGCTAACTAGTTAATCACTTCAGCGGTCGTCAATAATTTACAATTATCCAAACTCGACTATCTCGTTGGTCTGGTAGTCGTAAGCGTGACTACTAATCTAAAGGTCGCAGATTCAAATCAAGGTTCGGCCAAAATCATTTTGGGTAGCCCTACGTCAGGAAGTTCTATAAAGCAAGTAAAGCCTTTGGTCTTGCACTTAATCATTCTCCAGTTGTATCGGTTTACCGTTCCATCAAACTATGAGAGTTATGGAATGTCTTGTTATTGCACACAAACTCGTGCTCTATAATGTAGTCCTGCGCAGATGGTTAGTCTCCAGCGTAACCGAAATTCGTTCTGGAGTATATTATTACTATTATTTTCAAGCCTCAAATGTAAACTTTATTATATTAAACTACTATTGAAGGTAAAGTGTAGGTACTGACAATCAATTTGTCACACTTCTGAAATTATAACCACTTTTAAACAACGTCACAAAACTCATACTGGGGATTCACTCTATACTGTAAACCATCATCCTCGCTGGGCTAAAGGACGGTATTGATTAGAATTCTATTTTAGATTAGATCCTTTGAAAACCTTTGAAATGCTATTAAATGGCGAAACCGGTAATTTTAATATTTCAAAAGTAATATATATATTTCCCCGCCCACATAAATAATATAATGTCACAAAGAGGCAACGATCGCATAAAATATTACCTACATGGATTTAGTATCGATTCATCTACGTATAAGGTTTCAGTAATATTAAAAATGTTAATATATAGATATCATTTCTATGGACAACGGAATAAAAATAAACTTAGTGGTAAAGTTTACTAGTTGGCAGCCAGACAGAATACAATAACACAAACATAACAGGAAGGAAAATTTGCGTCTTACTTACAAGCGGTAAAATGCTCATTAGACGAGCGCCTTGGGGCTTTCGCATTGTATTATTATTCATTCCTATCATATTTTCCTTCTCAAACATTTTTATAATATTTTCGAAACTTTATTAATTACAAGAAATTTAACCCTTAGATAGCCTGATTTACGCGAGTCTTACTTTTTAAATATTACTGTATTTGCTTGAGGGTCTAGATGAAGGGAAAAATAGCTAAATAAATCACAATATTTATTTTACATATTTACTTAAAAAAAAAAACAGGTATCAATTTTGATACTTCAGGCATTATGGCCATAAAGAAATCTTAAATGACCTATGCATGAAATAATGCGAAACATCGATTGTTTTTATTATCGCATAACGATACTTTGCATTTTTTACAGAACCAGGAGGTAAGTTTCCTACAATTACTAAATTTACATTTATTCCTAGACTCCATTTCACACACACAATTCTAGGCCTTCGTGAGAGGCCACATTTTCGTGATATGTTCCTCTGGGTACGTTGGATTTCATAATCTCCCGTTTCTCCGGCAACTTGCACGACTTTCCAAGCCTGTTTCTCTGTACTGTTCCAAGACAATAAATACCTTCGTTGGTCAAGTAATGTACCAGAGGAATATTCGTATAAAAATTGTCAAAATAAATTATATGATTGACATGCCTTGGTACTGGTCGTAACTGTATTCGACACAGCTCCGAGGTCTGGTTCGCCAGGTAAACGGTCCATGTCCTTAGCTCCCGAGTAAATCTCAAAACTGTAGGCATAACCAGACAGAGAGCATAACACGTATAATTTGAATCCCCACTTATGGGGCTTGTTGGGTAAATATTGTTTCATAAAATGTTTCATTTTTGTGGAACACATCTGCTCGTCTAGTGATAGACGATGCTCAAACGGTAAAGTAATAAATTTCTTGTTCAAATAGTCTATCACTGGTCTTACTTTATGCAGTCGGTCGTGCTGGGGGTGATCAATGGGCAAATGTTTAGAGTCGTCATTCATGTGAAAAATTTCTCTAATTTTATCAAATCTGTTGCGATTCATTGTTTGTACTATGGGTTCAAACTTTGTAATGTTTGACCAGTATGACCGGACACTAGGATAATGATATACACTAGTAAAAATAAGAATTCCAATAAATTTACGTAATTCTAAGACAGTTACAGGTTCTGTAAAGTTGGGATTCTTTTGGAAGGCATATTTATTTGACTCGTCCACTAGAAATCTCAAAATGTCTTCACCGAAAAAATAAGAAAAAAACTGAAATGGAGTGTCTAAGTTCATAATTTCTTGTGAATACTCAGTATTTCCAGCAAACTGGAAAGCATTTTGGACTAAATCCATATTTTTTACTCTCCACACTAAGTTTCTAGAGTTGAAAGGTGCAGTTTGCAGGTTGTTCTGGCTGCTGGTTGTAGGAGTTGGGTTTCGTTCAACAGTCTCTAAATTATGTTGCATGTCGGTATCTACGTTTGCTGCAGGCGGATCTGCATCCAAGTTTGGGTCAGTGGGAAAATTACCTACATCCTCTTCATCATCTAGCTCCATCAGACGATCTCTTTGGCTCGAATAATAGTCTATGTCATCTTCATTGTCGGTGGAATCGTCTTCCGAAATTTCACCATTTTCTAACCGCTTCAATATGTTCTCAATCTCTTCTGGCCGCATTTTGGATAAATTTCTATAATAAATAAAAACAAAAGTAATCCCCACACCAAGCTATGCAGAAAAAATATGAAACGAAAGTTCAAAAAGTTTTATAGCTAAAGAGTTAGTAGGTAGGTTTTATGTAGGGCGGAATGCCTGAAGTATCAATATTGATACCAAAAAAAAAAAGCACTAATTTCTTCAAGTAAAACATGCATTTGCTAAAAATAATTATATCATAGCGAAAATAATGTATTCACTTACCTCAAAAGTATTTATATTCTTCAGAAAAAGAAAATATATCAAATTTATATTCAACAAAACTTTTAGTAAAATGTGTTTACTTGTTCACTTTGCCGCGCAAGTAATATGTTACAGATAAAATAAAACAATAATGACATTTGTTTTTTTTTTAATTTCGTTGGATAGAATACTATACAACAGTAAAATACATACAGCCAACATATAAAAAAAAACTAATAGTAATGTGAATATTCGGTTTAAAATATTAGTATCAAAATTGAAACTCTAGGTTATTATGGGATAATAAGGAATATTTGTTTACGGATTACATTTGTAATCGAATATTTCATTGCATTTCAAAAATAGACAACTTAGTGGTAAGATAAATATTGTTAGTACTTTAACTATGCAAGTTTTTCGTTAATGTACTAAAATAATTTTAGTGGTACTAACACCAGAGAGATATAAACCAGAATTACTTGCGTGTTGTTAATATTTTTTTAAAATTCAAAAATAATGTAAACTTTGTCGTCTTGGATTTATTTTTAGCGTTTCTGTACTCTTATATTTAAACGCATCATCATCGTGCGTTAGATACATTATAAACATGCAATATGATAAAAGACAAGTCAGTACTCGTTAGCAGTTAGCTCGTAGTCATGTTAGCCAAAAGGTCATTACAGCCTCATCGGACTTAGGACTCGCGGTCTAAGTCGCTAGACCACAAGCATACTGTTGCTAGCCGTTATAATTACTCCTAGCGCCATCTAATGACTACCCGTCATCCGATGCTCTACCCGCAAAGCGATTAGAGCTTTCTAGAAAATGCCATGCTAGAATTTTCCACCTCCAGCGCCATCTAGTATCAAGTGGCAGAACTAGGAGAGAACTTTCTCCACTTAGTCGGTCGGGGCCGGTATTTGCTGGAACTTCTAGATGTTTCATTGGAAAAGGCCTATATAAAGCCGTTCAGGGCTGCGACCAGGGCAGTATTGATTTGGTGATACAAGCAAAGCTTCGGAACGAAATAAAGTGAAACTTAGATCAGTGTGATTAACTATTACTGTGTTTTAAGTTTTAATTGGTGTTAATCGGCAATTAAAATGTCAATTTTGTCAATTCAATCGGCAGTTTTTATTGTCACGAACCCTAAGCTCGTAAGAATGCTATAAATAAGCTCGTAACAATGAAATCAAATTACTATACGAGTATACATAGTTTCATTAGGCAAAGTCTATATGCTATTTTTACACCTTGTTGAGATTATTAGTTAATAAAGGACAGACCTAAAATAAATAACACCTCTTGCCCAACTTGTGTTCCTTGGTATTACAATAATTGATTATTGAAGAATCGTCTATGATATATTTTTATATCACACATATCTTTGTAGGTTTTTTCTTAAATAATTTTAAATAAAGTAACAACAACTGACAAAAAAGTAATTATTCTGGAGTAACAACAAGCTTTTTAGGGTCGGTAAGATATTCTTAACTGGGAGTTATTATTTCTTATTTCTTATCTTACTCAGAATTTTTATTATCCACATAATTACCAAACCACTATCACTAGGATAGTAAGTTACTATCCTAGAAAAAATATTATCAAAAAAAGTCTGCTAATTTTACATCTCTACGTAACGGGTTTTATGACACTAGGCATATTACAAGTATAATAAAGAGAAAAACACACTTACAAATTATCACATACGATTTTTTTCGATGCTTGTTGAATATACTTTTGTAATATTATATTTTCCTATATGTAGTTTTGATAGTTTTGACACAAAAGTTTTAATACCTGTTCAAAAGCACAAGTGGTGAAGAAATCACAAAAAACACATGACTCTTATGTGCTAGCTGCTGTTTTTATTAAATAAATTTCTCCAACAAAATTTCATTACAAAATCAATTATGCATTTTGCTAAATTCTGAGTTATGCTCTATTTAAGTTTGGACTGCTGGAAGACATTCGATAACAATGTTGAGTTTGAAACGGCTTTACACTAGAATCGAAATCTATTTAACCGTCCTAGTACTTACTCTTCATATTTAAGTTATTTATTTTCATATTATATAATTTAAATTTTTGGGTTATTAATAGAGTAATCACATCTGGTTGGGCTGGATAAATATATAAAGGGAAAAATAAATATACTTAAATATATATTTAATATACTAACATAAATAAATTAATAATACATAAATAAATAAAAGCCCAACCAGATGGAAGCCCTCGGCAGGGGAGACCAAACGGCCGAGGGTTAAGGGGAAAGGGAAAGAAACCGGCGGATGCTGCGGATGACGGGCGGGTATCGAGGAGCACCGCCTTCTGCATTTGAGCCCGGAGCGGTCCGTCACGGAGTCCCAGTCGCCTCAGATGGCCCGAGAGGCTGGCTGGGATTAACCCGTTTGCAGACACAACTACAGGAATAATTTCGGTCGGCAGACCACCCCACATGTCGGTCACCTCGTGAGCCAGGTCCAGATATTTTGATTGCTTGTCTGTTTCGGCTTTCACGAGGTTCTCGTCATACGGAATGGTAATGTCGACCAAAAATATCCTTGACTGTGCCCGGTCCATCAGCACAATATAAGGCTTATTCGCAAGAATAGTCCTGTCTGTGATGATGGTCCGGTCCCAGTAGAGCCTGGCGCGGTCATTTTCGAGCACGGCTTCCGGCAAGTACTTGTAATACGGCAATTTTCGTTCCACGAAACCGTATTTCAGAGCGAGCTCCTGGTGTAAAATTCTGGCTACTAGGTTGTACCTGTGCAAGTACTCAGAGTTAGAAAGCGCCGAACAAGCGGAGATGACATGCCTAAGTGACTCCCCGGGATGGGGACAAGCTCGACAGATATCGACAGTGCCATCCTTTAGGATGTATCTCCGATAGTTGTTGGTCTTAATAACCTGATCCTGTATTGCACAGACAAAACCCTCGGTTTCCCCGAAGAGGTCACCGAAACGTAGCCAGTTGAGGGAGGCGACTGTATCTACGAAGGGCTCATGTAGAGCCGTGTAGTACCTCCCGTGGAGCTCCTTCTCCTTCCATACGGTCTCCCGGGCGGAAATGCTAAGCACTGCTGGGTCCTGCCATTGCTCGTTGGCTAAGGATAGAGGGGTAAGCCCTTTATCACTAGAAATGACGTCATTATAGAATGGATCATCCGATCTCGCCAGGAAGTAATGACGGAGGCTGCACACTTCGCGATTATGCATGGTGAGCGCACTCAGAAAACCACGCCCACCATGCTTTCGTGGCAAGTACAGCCTCATTACCGACGATCTCGGATGATGCATCCTATGGGACGTCATGGTAGTACGGACTTTTCTATCCAGAGCGTTAAGTTCAGTCTGGGTCCACCTGAGTATGCCAAAGGTATACATGAGGACAGGCATGACCCTACCGTTATATGCGTGTGTCTTATTCACACCGGATAAAAAGCTTTTAAGCACTTTGGTCAAGCGTGCAAAAACACGTCGCAAATTGACTGTTTCATACCAGCCTCATCGATACCGATGTTCTGTGACATACCCAGATATCGGTATGTTTCAGCCTCGGAAAGCGACTGGAGGCGAATAACTTGAGGTCATCCATATAGAAAAGGTGGGTCACTTTTGTTCCTCCCTTCCGTAGCTGAAATCCTCTCCCGGAGCCCTCCAGTAAGGTACTGAGAGGGTTTAGAGAGAAGCAGAACCAGATTGGACTCAGACAATAGCCCTGGAAGATACCTCTTCTTATTCTTATGTGGTTCTCCGCAGCCATCATCCGCTCGCTCAGATAACAGAGGATCGTACTCCACTGCCCCATACACTGCTCGAGGAAGTTTCTAACTGTACAGTCAATTTTTTACAGCTGGAGGACTCTCTTTAGCCATGTATGGGGCACCGAGTCGAATGCCTTTCTGTAGTCTATCCAGGCGGCAGAGAAATTCCGACGGTTGCGTTTCACCACTTTGCCAATGACCGCGTCAATGAGGAGTGGTTCCTTGGTTCCACGTCCACCGCCCCGACATCTATTTTGAGCGCGTGACATCACCTGATTTAGCTCCAGGTGACGAGTGATTCTCGCGCTCAAAATGGATGTCAGTGTCTTATATATGGTGGGTAGACACGTCATGGGGCGGTATTTGCTCGGGTCTGTGGTATCCTGATCTTTAGGAACCAAATGACTGATCCCAGTAGTGAAGAAGCTCGGGAGCGACTTCTGATCGAGAGCCTCTTGAAACTGTCGGGCGAGCACAGCGTGACACACTACGAACCCCTTCAGCCAGTAATGATGCAGCCCGTCGAGCCCCGGACTTTTCCAGTTCGTGGCCCTACGGACTGCCTCAGCAACGTCTTCAGGCGTTATGGTGACGGGGTCCATAGGCGTAACACTTGCACTCTGGCTCGCCACAACTTCCATCCAAGGGCCCTCGCTGTGGTTTACGGGCTCTGACCACAGGCCACGCCAAAATGCGACAGTGTGAAAATGGTCCTGGGCCCGCTCCACATACCTCTGGTCGCTCCAATGATTTATAGAGCCTCTTCTGATCACTCTGGAAGAGACGATTCTGGTTGAACCGCATTGACCTCTCGCTAAATCGTCGAATCCGCTTTCCCCAAGCAGCGATTTTTTGCTTCAGGTTATCTATGCGCTCCGTTAATTTTTGCGTGATATCCGGCTGGGGCAAACTAAAATTTGTCCCAGCTAACGCCATTCTAACGGTGCGCACAACTCTCGGTCTATTATTACCCGACTTGAAGCTTGTCAGTCTGCCGATAAGGGCCCT